CGACATCAACCTAAACTAGTCATGTAGTCGGTCGTGATCATAAGCTCTTTATCTCGGAAATTACATAATAATCACAATGCCTATTACCGAGTTAAAGTGAGAGGATGATTTGGAATTTACATAATGATCACAATGCCTAAGTCCAACTTACACCATCCTTCACACAAATACATGTAACGACTCTTCACACCTTATGACTCGTTACATTAAGGTAAAATACTTAAATAGGGTATCATGGCATAATAGTACTTATTTAACAATAATGCTTCACATGGGCCTCAACTCAAGCATAATATTCCTTATTTCAACTAAAGAATCCCAAACTCCGGGCATGGAGCTTTTAAAGTTCAAATACCAACAATACTTTGTCAGGAGCATCTTATTAAATGTTTAAAGTCATTTGCCCCAAATTCAACTTTTCTTTAATAAAGAGATTTCCAAGTGCATCCTTTTGACCCAAGATTAACCATTTTCCCTTAAGTGAATATGTGCAGCAAATTAAGGCATAGGATAGGTAAAATACTTCATTTCAAAAGCAAATAAGATTATAAATATATAGGGTTGATTTGAACTCACATAGCTTCTACTTGTTGCTTATGTTTTCTGTCTGCTGCGCGCGTCAAACAACAGCTACGACTGCTGCGTTTTCGGCCCGTTGCATGCGCCAAACAGCAGTTGCGCGCGTCACCCAGCAGCGAAGACTGCTTCGATCCTGCCTGCTGTCTTCCCCCATACAGCAGCTTGGCTGCTGTTCCGTTTCCTGACTGTTGCGTGCGATCAAACAGCAGCTACGGTGCTGTTTCCTCCTTTAAACCAGTAGTTACGGCTATTTTCTCTTCCTCCCTTCCTTCTTTCACTTGAAGAAAGCCATGGATCTGACCCAACCTTTTCTTCTTTTCTTTTCGGTTTCCTCCAGATACAGCCCCTCCCCCCCTTTCTTAAAAGAAGTCATAATCCCCCCAAAACAAGGAAGTCAAAAACTTTTAGAGAAAAAGAGAATTCTAGGGAAGAGTGAGACCATGGGTAGGTCAATGTTGCAGGCAACCCCCCTTTTTTTAAAAAAAATAATAATATTTCTAATAATTCAAAAGTACACTCCTCTTTAAAGTAACATTTAAATATATATTTATAATATATACACACATCTATATAGATATATTAACATATAAATAGATATGTATACTCAAATATTCACAAAGGAGGATTCTCATAAAAATTAAGTGTTTTTAAACACGGATTAAGTACAGGAAATTCCAGGTGTTACAGTGTGATATATTATGATTCAATCAAAAGGAGTAAACGTTTATTTCAAAATTATTTGGCTAAGTGAATCGAAATAATATCTAAGAAATAAAATGGAAGAAATTAATTATATCCATATGATTAATTAATTAAAGGGATTTATTATTTTAAAAGGGTTTAAACAATATTAAATAGGCCAAGTTAGTTTAATTAGATTAAACTAAAAAGAAAAGGCTTAGGGCCCATATGATGAAAAATCCCACGAAAGCAATTATAAAATGAATATGATTTAGTAGATTATGGTTTAATCTTATCTCATCCTCCCTTCCTCTTGATAACGGCCCCCACCTCTATACTTCCTTGGAACGATTTTCAATCAAGAAGAGAAAAGAAGTTTGGTTTTGATTGAAGTACGAACTAGCATCCAATTGGTATTGCTCGTATGGATACCAATAGAGGCCTTTTTGCTTGGACGCTTGTTTCTACATCAGATTCTTCTAGATCTAAGAGGTAAGATTCAAATATCGTCATTCTTAGTTTTATCTTTTGGTTGATCTATTCTACTCAATCGGATCTTGGATTTTGGAAATCGTTTTACATAAAGTTTTTGTTTTTTTTTGGTGCGTTTATTTTATGTTGTTTGTTTAAAAGGTTTTAAACATTCCCTTGATTTCCAACAGTACCCATAAACTAGTCAATGTAACAAAGCCTATAAATTTTTTTCATCTCTTGTTATGTCTCTTACTAGGTAAGATTCTCAGATATTACCATGATCACCTGGTAAGGTAAGTAACACCTAGCAAATACTTATCCGATATGTGTTAGGTAAACAATCCCAGAATGTTAAAGTAACTTTCAACCTTGTGTCCCACAATACAACAAAAGTGAGATTAAATCCCACCTACAATATGAAAACAATATATGATCAATTCAATTTGATTAACTTTTCTGAAACAAAATCAGAATTTGTATCAACAAGCAATGGCAAGAGAGAACATATATCAACCAAAGGTAATATCTAAAGGAATGTATCAACATGACATCCAACATGGTTTTGACTATCAGTGTGATAGTGTACATCCATATAAGAGGAGACATGATTTTATTCATACAAATCAAATAGATGGATACAAAAGTTCTTACCAAATATAAAAATAATTCCACTGCTATTTACAACCTAAGTTAGCTGATCATTTTTTACCTAATTCACAAATGACAATATATCACTCGTCCCGCCATATGTGTGACTCAACGAGTGAATACCACAAGTCGCATAGGAACTCTCCCAGTTCAAAATTAGCAAGGTGATGTGTCACGTGACTTCACCACTTCACTTACCAAGTTGTTTTCATCGTATAAAAAGTTGTCCCTTTTCTGTGTGACTTTTCATCATGTCGTGTTTAACTTTTTCTTGTACCGTGATTTCCAACCAACATCAACTGTCAATTCAGGTGACTTCAAGTCACGACATCCATGTGGCATGTCAAGTCACTTATAGCATCAGTCTTTTATCACAAAGCTTAACACTCCACATTGATATAATACAAACATCGAGATAGCATGCGAATAACCTTGGTATTACTAGGCACTCAAATAATCACATTTTGACGAGGTTTAATATGGCTATCATCTGTCAACAAACTATGACAAAGTCCCGAAGTCAAATAATACCCGAAATGCCAAAGCCAAAATTCAACAAAATATCAAGAACTAATCGTTAACGTTCTCCGTAAATCTTTCAGAAATCTCCTCTTCAAAGTGTCGTTTTGACATTAACGCATCTTTAGCCAAATGAGATCTGAACAAAGCTCAAATCTAGTCAAATGTAAGGATTGTATATCTGAATCATTCATATGTCTTAATCTTCACCAAATGGACAACCATGTTCTCATGTAATACAAAGAAAAATCATTTCCTTGAACCAAGGGTCAAATTGTCTACCAAATAAATAACACTTTTCTTATCATAGTTGACTGCCATGTCTTCTTGTACCAAAGCCAAGTAAATGTGTTTTTTAAAATCATAAGTGAGAAAGAGAGAGCAAATAAATGACTTTGGATAAGGGATTTTTCTTTAAGAATTCTCTTAGGAACATTTGGTTTGCAGAGAATCTATCAAAGAAATTTGATTTTGAAGGGATTGGAATGAAATGTTATCGGGTTTGACCACCTGTTTGGTTGACAGACATTGAAATGGAATCTGTTAAAAAAATTGAAATCTGTTTGTTTGGCTCAGAACGTAGCTTTGAAATTGGAATGAAATATTAGTAAATGACCAAATTACCTTTTTTGGAAAATTTTAAAACCGAATTCCAACTACTGTGGTTCATATTGGTGGTGGTCTGTGGTGGTTTAGAATGATGGTGGTTGGCGGTGGTTCAGATCGGTTGTGGTCAGCGATTGTCGATGGTGGTTCAAATCAACTAGGGAAAGATGGAGATAATCTTGACCTTTTGAGAAAATGAGATGGAATGAAATTGAATTCCTTCTCAATTGTGATAGAATGACCAAATCCATCAATGATGAAATTCGTGAAATTCAATTCCATTCCATAGGTAAACCAAACGCCTGCACAAAATTTGGTCAATGAAATTGATTATTCCAATTCCTTCGAATTCCGTAGAAATCCTACGAACCAAACGTTAAGGTTTCCTACAATGAACCCTCCATTTTATATGGAAGAAAAAACCCCTAAATCAGATATCTTTTAGGCCTTACAACCCTTATCTCTATTTTAAACCTCTGGGTTTCAGATCAATTAACCAACACCATGGTTCAATAGTTCCTTATCAAGGATGTTGTAGAATACGACCCTTTAGATTCTTCTGACATTGACAATAATGATAGATTGGAGAGTAAACTATTTTTAGTTCTTGTGGTTTATACAAAACTAAGAACCTCTTCCCTCTTTTTTGGAATAAAATGCAATAATATCACGCATTTCACTGTAAAAATGTTGTCTTTTTCTATCAAAAAGTTAGAGGTGAAGCCTGTGTACAAACATTTAAACCTTGGTGGAGATGGAGGTAGCTGTGGTTGTCATTTTTAGTGATCTTTTTGTTCCACAAACAAAAGCCTTCTTTCACTCTCATTCCCATGTTGTGTCAAACATCGATTAGTGACTTTTGTTTTGGAACACTGAGTTTTTGTCCTATTACCAACACAACCTCAAAGTATAGATGATGCGCAACTCGATCAGTTCTCATAAATATCCCTACATAATTTGTCTAAGTTAGAGATGCACAAAAAACTCTAAGCCTAAGGTTTACGCCCGACTTCAAAGCCCAATTAGGTAAAAAAATTCAAGGCCCCAAAAAACCCAACCGGGCCCTACCTCAACCCGAAAGCCTGGTATCCAAGAATAAAAAGACACAGGCTGATAGCAACAACTGTGTATGTGTTTTAATATATTAATTATTTTTCAAGCAAAAGATCGTTTGAGAAGCGTAATAAGAGATCTAGACCCTTGATCATCTTTAATCTCAAACTCACCCATGAATTGCATTTGAAACGGGAATTTATCTAGTGCATCTCATCTTAATATGCATCCAAGGGTGAAGATCCTTTCTTATGCTTCTCATCTTAACTCTCCTTCTTACCGGAATCCGAATCTTATTTTTCATGCGTTCTTATTATATATCAATTATTTTCAATAACATTCCCATTAATAAATATGGTAAAAATAAGAAAAACAAATGACAAAACCATACCCAACTTCCTTATTTTGAAGAACAACCACATGCTTAATTCTTGGTCCCATGGCAATAAACAATTCACCTGAATAATAAAGATGATTGCGTCAACAATATCATTACAAAAGATCATTACTTAACCCATCTGTAAGACTGTAACCATGGTCAAGGTTTACCAAATCTCCTGTAAATTTGCATAACCGGTTTCCTCAACCAGACAATCAATGGATATATGATTGAAAAGTTCAGACATTTGAATCTGTCACAAGAAAAATAGGGACTTCTTTATTCCAACCCATAAACCAAGTACATAATTTGGAGTAATGATAGAATTGACTGTAGCTATTCAGCAGCGCCTACACATCACATGGATATCCTGCACGAATTCAACATCTATGATTAGATTGAGAACGAAACTTTACGAATAAACAAACAAAACGATATAAAATGCAACTAGATTACAACTTCACGCGAGTCTACAGTTGATTTCATCATTTTTAGGTTCTTTCATCTATTAGCATGTTACCGTATATAGTTAATTATATACGAATTACAGTTAAGACAAAGGGTGAAACTTCAAACCAAAATAACCACCACTCATATTGTTTCCATTGTGATTGCTAAATACAAAACACTATGGCCATGGATTAGACTTAACTTCTTTTTCGTAATGGTAGTCGTCCCGGACGGCTTGCACACAACTCGACTAATCTCATGGGACCTAAAGATAACAACCACAAAAATTTCACTGTTATCCGGATCATGGTGTAAAGGGGAAATGGGTTCAGGAGAAGACTGAGAGATGGGCGAGAAGGTATGTGGTGAACCGGGCACGATCAGGTATTACAGGAGATGGAGAGATAGCACCATTATTGTTTTCCATGAAGATAATGACGTCAACATACACTAAGATGTATAAAAGAGTGCAAGCACGACTGATATTAAACAGTGAAGGATCAGTCTTGGAACCTACAAAGCCAAGGGTATGAAGAGCCTTGGAACGGCAGAGAAACCAAGCCCGTGGGGCCTGCTTGAGGCCGTAAATGGACTTGTGGAGTAGACAAACATGATCTGATGGTTGTGCGTCAATAAAGCCTGGAGGCTGCCCCATATAGACTGTTTCAGTAAGGTGGCCAAGAAGAAAAACATTTTGAATATCAAGTTGCGTGAGCGACCGTTTATGAGAAACCGCAAGAGATAAAACAACCCTGATGGTAGTGGTCTTGACAACAAGACTGAAGGTTTCGTGAAAATCAATGCCATGTTGTCGAAAACCTTTTGCAACGAGTCTCGCTTAGTAACGAGTGATGGCACCTGTCTTGTCCTGTTTTATCCTGTAAACCCACTTACAATCAACAACATTAGTATCATGAGCACGAGGAACTAGAAACCACGTGCCGATTTTAACAAGAGCGGAGTATTCCTCGGCCATAGCTTGACGTCACTCAGGAGATTTGTTGGCAATGGTAAATGAGATTGGTTCAATAGGTTGTAGTGGAGATGGTGGTAAGATTAGCTGAGTTATTGAAGGGAAACCGTTGTTTGGGGAAGGGTAGGAGGATGTTGTCTAGGAGGAGGCGGAGTGACGACAGAGAGGAGGAAGTGGATGATAATGGAGATGAACCAGTGATATCTAGATCATGCTGTAAAGGGGAAGTGGGTTCACGAGAAGACTGAGAGATGGGCAAGAAAGTATGTGGTGAACTAGGTGTATTACAGGAGGAGCGATAGCAGCATTATTGGCAAGCTTAAGCTAGTCATAAGTTATCAGCCCCACAACCATTTTTTAGCCGATGATAAGTTCTTTCTACCACAGAAGAAGTCATTGTTCCAGTCTCTCGCAGATGCAAAAGTTTTGTCAAAATTTGATCTCAAAGTCGGGTTTTGGCAATTAGGATTAAGACCTGATGACAGACCAAAAACTGCCTTCTGCATCCCAGACCATCACTACCGGTGGAAAGTAATGCCATTTGGGTTAAAACATGCTCCATCTGTCTTCCGAAAGGCAATGATAAGAATTTTGAACCTATTCTCAACAACAATGGTATACATCGATGATATCCTTCTGTAGAAAAATCTCGAATAGATCTACTCACTAAGTTTAAATAGTCAAGGAGCATGGAATCATGTTATCTGAAAAGAAAAGATAGAAATTGGAGTAAGTGCTACTAATTTTCTTGGTATGAAAATAATTGATGGGAAGTACCAACCATAGCCTCATATAGCTCAAGAACTGCACAAATTTTCGGGAATATTGACGTTACAAAAAAAAATTCAACAATTTCTTGGGCTAGTAAATTATATGGTAAATTTTTTGCCTAAATTATCGAGTCACACTGTGCACTTATTCCCCATGTTGAAGAAAAGTCCCCCCTTGGAGTGAAAAACAGACATTAGCTATACAGAAGATATAGCAGCTAGTTGATGTGATACCTCCTTCAAAGATTCCTACTGTTACTAACAAAAGAATCCTCCAGATTGAAGCAAGCGATGAGTAGTGGGGGGCATTCCTAATAGTTCAAGACAAAGCTGGTGTCGAAACAATTTGTGCATACAAAAGCGGAATGTTCAAAGATTCGGAGCAACACTATCACTCTACCTTCAAGGAAATCTTAGCAATCAAGAGAGGAAAAGAAAGATTCCAATTCTATCTAATCAGTCATGACTTCCAGATTGAAATGGATGTCTTCTTTTCCCACGCATGCTCCATTTTAAAAGGAAACTCCCGGAAGCCCAACTTTTGAGGTGGGCGAATTGTTCTCTCGATGGAAATTTATTGTGAAACACATCAAGAGGTCAGAAAATATTCTAGCAGATTTTCTGTCCAGATAGTTCACGAAGCCAAGGTCCTTCCAATGGTGTTCCTTGTTAAGAAAGCAAGCTCTTCTGGCTCGTTTACTCTAAACGCTTCTCAACCTCCGCAATAGATCAATCTAGTTGAAGATATCACAACTCCACCACAAGTTCTACCGGATGAGATAACAAAAACGATTGTCGACATTACCTTAAGAGAAATGTCTCAACTGAACTACGAAACGTTCTTCACTATCATGCTCAAGAAACATGATATCTTCATGAGAAACCTCCAATTCCATCCTGACTACCTTTTCCTCAATGTCTTCCATATCCATGACTTACATAGGTTCCCAAAGAAACACTTTGTTTTCTTTGGTATCTATTCGAGTCTCACACCATTGCGATATCCTTCAACTCTGCCAAACTACTCAACTACCTTTTCCAATGTCAGTTCGAGGGTCCACCCCAGGGGCATATAATGTATTTACCCTTCTCCAATGGTTCCTCCCAGCGCATCAATGGACTCAACGATTAGTTGTCTGCTATAAAACTTACGTTGTGGTCATGTTCAGAAGGCCCTGCTCCTTTTTACCACATATGGCTCTCCGTTAGCAACAATCATTGATCTACCACTCCCCACTGTCATTCATCCACAAATGGAATGATAATAACCCAGGCAGTAAATTCTTCAAGTTGTCCCATCCATAAAAGTATATGGAAACACGACAGATCTTGGCCATTGCTAACCTAGTAGATCCAGCATCAATCCCACAGCATATATGAACAATGAGAAACTCTAGTCTTCCGAACATCCAGTTTCTGTATCATGGGACGAAGCACTTGAACATTGGTTCCAGACTCATCTCTCGATGAAAATAAACACTTCCAATGATGAAGATTTCAAAGAAGAAGACGGACATTATGACTTGGGAGAAGAGCACTTTGATCCTTATGAAGACGATCGATCTCACCCTGACTCACGTCAGAAGTAATTACCATAGATTAATATTAATAATTGTCTCCACTAAAGGACAAAATAGTGATGTAAGCTTTAAGTCACTCTTATGTGATGTAATCGCTTAACTCATTTAGGTTGTATTAGCTAGTATTATTGCTTGCTTTTGTCATGCTTATGTAATGCTTATGCAAGGGTGCCTTTTCCTTACTTATAAAAAGGAAGGCTCCCCTTCATTTGTAGAGCATCCTTGAAAAGAACTAAAAGCTTCTTCCATATATGCTCTCTTGTTCTTAAGTTTAAGTTCATATTCATCATGCTCTCTCTTATTCTCGGTGACCATATCTCCTAGTCTGAGTTATCCATTAGCGATCCTAGTCTCCCGGTCTTGGGAATCACCCTTTTGAGGTATCAAAGCCACAAGCAGGGTAGTGCGTATAGACTTGTCCTTCACAAGAAAAAAAGTTGAGTGAATTCAAAGAAAACATTGTTATCTAAACAAAATTTCTGGACAAAAAGAAGATTTTTGGTGACTTTTGGAATGTAAAGAAACTTAGATAGACAAAAGGGTTTGTATGGTGAGTAAATGGTTGATGAGCCAATATGAAGTATAGGGAGTCCCTTACCATTACCAACATGGAGAGCGTCACTACCATGATAAGCTTCAGAGTTATCCATGCTTGCTAAATAAGGCGTAACATGACTGTTCGCTCCTGTGTCAAGAAACCATGAAGTTGATTCGGCAGATGGGGAGGCACAGCTTTTGGCAAAGTTAGCAGTCTGCCTAGGACGAATGTAGATGGATCACGATTAGGATACTATGATGGGAGGTGCCCAATATCACAGCGGTTACAAGTTCCGTATACTGTATTTTGATTGGATGCCCAGCTAAATTGGCGACCACCACATCCACGGCTGCTACCACGAGAAGTTCCACGACGACGATTACCACGGTTGTTGTGGGGCTGATGAGAACCATAAAAAGCTTGAGGGCCTGAAGTTGCAACAGGGATCAACGGGTAACCAAGTGTAGATGCAATGGAATTGATCTGAGTAGCAAGTTGTTGATTATGATAGACAAAAGGCTGTGACAAACCAGAATTACCGGTTGTAGTTGCAAAAACCAAAGAAACAGATGGAGTAGAGGCACGAGTTTTCCCAAACATGTAGTCATGGTCACTGAGAAGGGCATGAGGTTCATTGAAGGCAATCGGGAATTGACGTGCGGTGATGGTAGATTTAAGACGGGTTCGCCAATGGCAGCTAGAGTCCCAGAGCCCCTGGATGATGTATGAGGGGCATAGGCTCGTTCAAGGACAAGCCATACATCACAGGAAGTTTCACCCTGGACATGTCGAAAAGAGGCTTCAGAGATAGGGGAGATAATCAACATGCGAACGTGAGCATCCTTAGAAATCTAAATCGGGTAATTAGGGTTATCTTGTGGATCGGTGGTAGCCTTTGGATCGGAGGTGGTTGTGGTTGATGGTAGATGTTTGGATGGACACGGTATTGATCCATCTATATATCCAAATAGATTATTTGTGACAAAAAAGGGTTGAATCATTGTTTTCCAATAACCATAGTTTGTAGGAGTTAGGAAAAAGGCAAACTTGTGTAAATTGTGAGATTGTTTCTCCGGTGTTATGAAAGAGGGTATTAGAGCCATGACGTAATAATGTACCGTAAAAGAAAAGAAGACTGAAAATTAGGTTCCGGCAGCGGCAGCGGCAGCAGCAGTGGACAGCGGACGGCAGATTCCAGCGACAGCAGCGGCAGCGGACGGTCAGATTAACAGAGGTGGCGGCAGCGGCAGCAGACGATCAGCCTTGTAGTGGCATGACCAAGAGGGCAGGTAGGGTCTTGGTAACTTGGCTCTGATACCAAGATAAACCACAAGGGTTTTGTGTATTGATTTGATATGTAACCTAATTACAGTCGGTCTCTATATATAGAGATACTAATTACATAGGAGTGCCCTCTATATTATACTAATTGCACTTAAGTACATTCAGTCTGGATTCTCTTTTTGAAGACGACGAAACGAGAAACTCAAGAAGACGATGAAGGACAAAATTGCAGAAATACCAGCGCTAATCTAAAAAATCTCCACCAGGATTCCTTTGAAGGTCGTGAACCGCAATACCACCGCTATACCGGCGTGATTAACAACATAGTATAGAAGACGTGACCAAAATCATCTCAACCCCAATTGACCCTTCACTTTTTGTTTCCTCCCAGTTCCATTTGTTCCCTAGGGATGCATTTGGTATGCGGACGGGACTAAGCAGAACTGGACTAGACAAGCGAGAATGAGGTTGGCAGGTGAAATAATTTTCCAAGGTTTCAAGGTTTTACCAGTCTTGTCCTATCTTTTTAAATGGTTAGTTTAGTAATTTACCAGTCTTTTCCTATCTTCTTTGATTTTTGTTTCATCTATTTGGATGAGACAAAAAAATTGCATTTTAGGTCCACTAAGTCCTGTCCAGTCTCAGTCTAATGTTGCACCAAACGTGAGACAACAAGTGTCTGTTCTGTTACATCATGTTCGGTCCTGCATTAAAAATGTACATGGCCATATATCATGTTTCAAAATAACAATTATTGGTTTTCTTGAGTGATTGAGCTTCTGTATTTATTCTGTCTAAAATTATCATTTAATGGCACAAATAAAATCTGTAGCATTGAATTGTGTATATAATGTACAACACTAGATTACAAAATGCGACTACACACCCACATAACCAAAACTAGGCTACATCTACTCCCAGCCAGTAACCACACCATGAATATTGTATACCAGGACTGGTCCGGCAGAGAAATGACCTCAAATGAGATTTCAATTCGGAAAATGACCTAATTTTTTTTTTTGCAAGATTGACCTTCAAAATGTATTATTCCGAAAATACCCTTAATGATTAGCAACGGTGTATGACGATGAGAAGGCCCTAGAAGGTTGTTCTTCAACGTAAAATCTGGTAAAAATGGTAAAAACTCATAAAAGCCATAATCTAATGAAATCATAAGAAAGAAGGTTGTTCGTCTTCATACATATTTGTTCTTCATCGTAGTATAAATTTGTTGATGTTCTGTTACAAAAACAAAGATGGAGTGCAGTGGCATAAAATGTTGTTCTTCTTATGTTACTGAAACACAGGATAGTAAGGAGAAAATCGAGTTTGTAGAAAAATATGAATCGGGTTTTGGAAGATAAAAATGAACGAAAGAACAAGAAGAATTCACCAACAGGGTGAAGAGACTATTTCTTCGTTGTCTTGTGCTACCAAAGAAGTCACGAGAAATTTTGCGGAATCTTCTATGTTTGAAAAGAAGGGCTGGTATGGGGAAGAGGAAGGGTGGTATTGGGAAAGAAAGGGTTCCAGGTACCAGGAAGGGCTAGTATGGGAAAGGGCTTAGGCGGGATGTAGTTATATATTTCGAGAACGATGATTTTGGTCAATTACGAGACACTTGGTCGTATATGAGGCTAAGGGTAGTTTAGCCATTTACATGGTGCAAGATAGATGGAGGTCATTTCCGGAACACGAGTTTCAGGGTAGGTTGTTGTGCAAATTTATTCTACTTGAAAGATACTATCAGCAGTCAAAAACAATCAATAAGACGAATGTTTATTGCATTTAAGTGAATGTATATAGGCAAACATTCACCCTACAACAATGACAAGGATATAAAGTAAAATTTAAGAGGTAACAAGGGTGCATTTTCCAAATTATACTTACAGAGAAGCAATCACAAAGCTGAAGAAGAAGTCCGCTCAGCCACTGCTGGTAACCATTCTTTGAAAAATGTTTGGGAGTCTATATCCGCATGACTTAAGGCCCCAAGGGGGGTGACAGTTATCTGAAATAGGATGCAACTTAGATAATTAACGAATGGGTGATCTTGCTAAATATCTTCCAAACGAGTAAAGAAAGGTACACACGAATCCTTCTTTAAGATAACAGTAATCCGTTTCACCATCTTCCACCTGGCCTCCCTTGACCTGAAAACAAGCATAATACTCTTATAAACAAAGTTTATGTGGTGAAACTAAAAACCAAAAAAAAGAACATTGCAAATTGCAAAACCCTAGTCGCATCAAACGATGATGTTTCTCGAAAAATAGACAAAGCTGAGTGATATAGAGGCCAAACCAAACAAGGCCAGTATATATGCTCCTGCCGGGGGGGGGGGGGGGGGGGGGGGGATACTCAGACCTGACGTCAAGCCAAAAGAATAGAGATACAGGACATAACATTTGTTTGAAATTTCTCTATCATATCTATGTCAACTTATTTTTGCATTCTCAGGTCCACTTCAAGTCAACGACATCAAATTCTCTAATGTAAAATATAATATGTTAAATGTGATGGATTTCATAAGCTATTTAAATCCTATAACAATGTAACTGCAATGACTAGGAAAACCGATGAGAGAGATACTACAAGATCCTGTTTGTTACCCACAAATGGGTGATCTTTGAGTTATGCAAAAACTGACTAGCCACACTCACAACATATGTTATGTTTTGGGTTATGTTTTGTATCCAGTGATTCTTAATTCAACAAATCACAATAATTATAAAAAATGGAAATATGAAATGTGCTCAAGGAAGTGCAAGATAAGAGAGGATTTGTTGCCAACTCAAGAATCTTAGCAAAAGCGTTAAATATCTTCACTAACAAATAAGGAATGGATGGATTTTTAGATGCTGTAATAGTTCTGAATTACCTCCCATTACAAGATTTTTCATTTTATGATAAAACTGATACTGAATAAATGTTCATTACAGTATTTAGCTACAAGTAAGGACCACACACCTCTCTCCTGAATAAAAGGTGTTCTTGTGAAACACCTGTAGCATCAGGATTTGATGCTACTGAATTTGGCTCCATCGTCATTGTGGATAACATATGTCCACCTTGGGCGGCATCAGAAGAAACTTGCTTCCAACCCATTTTGATGATACTGTTTCCTTGGTTGGTCAGCTTATAACCCTGTTTAAAGAACACATAAGATGCTCCACATTCTTTATGAGAACAACATTACATGTTATCCAAATATTTAGGTCAAGATTCTGAACTGAAACTAAATAGTGAAAAAAGGCAACACAAATCTTTTCTACCTTGCAGTTCTGTAAAATTATGCATTCACTAAATTTCCCAAAAGTGTTGACTAGTATGGCTCAGATTTTCTGGCATGGCAGTATCCTATATAACACCGGGTCTAATCCTGAAGATATATTTGAAATGCCTCTGTATATACATATTTATTAAACATACTTGTTATTTACTATTTGCACATGATTTGAAGCACCTGTCTTTGCAACAAAAAATTTGATGTAGGCAGAAGATGCAAGAGAGTCAAAGAGTCTTCAGTTATGATAAATTCAATGGAAACATATTTTTACAAGAACATTTTCAACTCACCTTATGATTCAAAATATCTGTGGGTAGATCTACATTCAGAAAACATTTCTGAGGATATGTTTTATTCTTGATCTCAACAAGAATGGCATTTATGATGGGTAAGCAAGCCTCAGCAGCCAGTGTGAAGTTGTTGATACTGCTCGTACCCCCAACCCTGTCAATAACCCAAGTAAACAATGAAGATCATCATCTTTCTTATATTGGACCACCACATATTACCTTATGTCTGCACATGGGAAGCAATGATATAACATAGAAAGGTTACTATTTCCTCATTGGCTGCGTCAGTCACAGAACATGTTACACCTCATTAATAGCTAAAAGGTTCTTGTCCCACTTCCCAGTACAACCTTTGTCAATGAAAGTCGAAGTACTCCATTGTAGGATTCGAGATGCATTTTCTCTTTTGGGCATCAGTTATTGACTGAAATGTCTTTAATTTGAAACGAATAAATATTTAAATTAGTACCAAATTGTGCATAGTTTCATAATAGTGCATTCCTAGGAAATCCTGTGTCTTTCGTTTTTGGATAAAAAGTGCATCAAGTTTCCATGTTAAAATCTTCCAGTAAACTCATAATGTATCTAGTTTGGAATGTTTGACATGTGCTGCTTTGATAGATCAGTAGTTCTCAATTATGCACGCAGACAATCATATTGTTACATACTCGAGGGTAGATGCTGCCTTGCAGCACCAACAATTTTCAATCCCCACCAACTGGAACTAGGTCTATTTTCATGCTGCCCATTCATATTCCAATTCATGTGTGAGTAAATCTAGCTGTTCCTCAAATCCTGGTAATAGGATAGGCTCCACCAATGTTACATCTAATTCACCCTGTGTTTGTCCTGCACATCCCATCTTTCCTACAATCTTAGGCTTCTTGGCCGATAAAAAGAACCTAACGGTACTGTATTCCTACTTATTGAAATTTTCAGGAACTCGGAATGTATCCATTGATTAGAACATAATCTGGATCACAAGAGTTCATCTGTTTCACACATTGATGAAACAAGTGGCATATTTCAGTGGTTTGGGTATAACGAATGTCCATTATTGGTTAAGGGGTCCTTCTCTTACAAATCCAAAGAAGTAACAAAATTTTCCTTTGTTACAGATCTGTTCTGTGAGTTGTCAGTTGGGAAAACTCACCCACATTGCTGCTGTGTGTTTTAATTAGAGCTATTTAGTTTGTCTAGAGTATAAATACTATGTTACATTTGTTGATGATGACTCACATTTGGGTTTATTTATTAAAATCATGGTGTGAATTTTTCCATAATTTGTGTGCCTATTTTTAAATCATCATGGTTCTACATTGCAACGAAGATGGTCACATTCCACTCACTCTCTGATATCCCTCTACACATGTTCCATTGTCTCCAAAATTACTGGGCATGTCTGCTTCGTCCATAATTCTCTTCTGTTGGAACCAGGCTTGATCCTAAAGTGTGGCATTGTTGGATATCCTATATCAAGAAAAAATTAGGGGTTTGAGGCACTACAATTCTACCCTGAAGCAGATAAATTGCTTCTGTTAGTTTCCCATTTTGATATTACCCTATTCCAATGCATAAAGGCAATCGTATAAGCAACCCACCAGAATACCTGCATATACTGCCACATCCACTGGTATATATAAAACTACTAATAAAAATTAAATAAATTATAGCAAGGAACGTGAACTCCCATGCTGGTACAGAGCTATGCAAAAGGAGATGTCACATTTTGGTTTCAAAATACCTCCACATTCAATAACACTTTAAAGGTTAAAGATGGGTAAGCATCAAAGCTTCATCCTCATGGCTCAACATTAAAAAAAGTTTCAAAATACCTCACATTCAATAACACTCTAAAGGTTAGTTTTGGAAGTACTACAAACTACTAGAACGATCTTTAACTAATATATACCAACAAGAGCTCAACATTAAAAAAAGAAAGGACAAAAAAGAACTTTGAGCGGACTATGTTAATAAACAACATCAATTGATTTTACACACAACTTGGATATGAAGTGAGCAAGTAACACTTATTATCCATGTTTCCTTTTGAATCCGTGCTAATCCCCTCTACTAAATGTATGCAAAGGGTCAAAAGCCAAATTTCATTGTAATACCAACATATCTATAGGAATAAATTTACATACCAATCATATGATATTGAGACAGATGGTAAACCATAGAAAAAGGCCTCTCGAGCACCTGCCACTGTCCCCGAGTAAACACTGCATTTCAAGAAGCTCTAGTTAAAAAAGTGACGACCAAAGAGTCTGCACTATCTCATCAAGCCACATACATACAATAAACAAAATAAGGGATGAGGGAGAAAAAGAAGAACAAAATAGCTAGCAGCAGTGACCACTTAGGTTAGAAAAGTTATTGAAAAAACATTGCCACCCAAATAGCATGTCTGGAGAAGCCAAGTCAATAAAATTATTTAGCAATGGCCGGACAAGTATTTAAACACAAATACAGAAGCATAAGATCATTAACTCACATAAAATAGACGGATTTGCTTGGAAGTTAAGGCTTAAACACTTCTGTTTTCAGCTTATATTTTATTTCAAATGCAAACAGAGTTGGTAATTTGTGTTGGTCAATAAACTTAAAACGTATTTGGCAAGTAAAAGTAGGAATCATTTGTTACTGGGTTTCAAAATCTCAACCTCATTAAAGTCAAAATGGTCAAGGCACATCGGCTTTGTTTTTGGAAATTGTAAAAACATCAACATTAAGCTCACGACTTGTAACTGTCAATTACAAAATGTAGTAAATATATGGTTGGTTCTCTGAAAATGACGACATATGTCAAACACTGTTTCCTGTAATAGTAAAAACAAACAATAAAAACCTTGCCAGATAAGGCATTAAAAGTTATATTTACTGGCAAGGATGAATGCAATCAGACAAGGAAATCATATAACATGGAATCTGTACTAACATGTGATAACCACAGTTGCTCCCCATATTTATGCCACTTAATACCTGTAGAGAGTAAGTGAAACAAATCAGAAAGTTTTATATAATATAACAGAATATGCATCAAATTTTCTAGAATTATACAGCATTCATGATTCAGACCCCAACACAAGAACTATATCAAAAAGTAGGCATCTAATAAGCATATCACAGACAATGATCATAAATGATATTTGTTCGTAAGTCAAAAATGAATCCAAGTTGATGCCCAACAAGGCAATAAAACATATGTCATTCATAACAAAATAATAGAAAAAGAAAAACCAAAACCCTATCTCGATGCATAAACAAAGCAGATTAGAAGCCACCAGCCCCGTCCTCTTCCATATCCAAATAGAGTGGAAACATAAAACCAGAGATCCACACAGAAGTGACTTCCTGTTGTTGGAAATAATGTCCAATGTCACAAGTGAATTTAGTAAATAAATTCCATAAGCCTATCGAGGCTACACACTTAGCCTAAATTGGAAAGTAGAAAACCTTGGGGACTGATTTTGTTAATTGTTAATAGTTAACAATTAATTAGTAAATAATAGTTTAATAATTTATTTTGATAAATTATTAATTATTAATTAACTAAATGATTAGTTAATTGCTAATGGGTTTTAAATATGCTTAAAGAGGCTTTAGAAGCTCGTTAGGGATTTAAGCCCAAATCATGGGTATTTAAACCTAACTAACTTAGAGATAAGTACATAATCAAAACTCTAAGCAATAATCGTCCCTCCCTCCTCTCTCTCTCTCCCATCTACAGCCAAACTCAACCCCAAGGGGTTCTTGAGGTCGATTTTGGTGCTCCAAGTGAGAAGGTTTCTTGTTCCGGTTTACGGCTTCGTGTGCGGACTGGTAGAGGGATTCTACGTTGGATCCTTAATCGTTTTGATCTACAATCGAGGTACATTTGTAGATCTTATTTGTTGCTTTGATTACATAAACGTGTTCCTCGGTTTCGCTATTACGTTTCATGCTTCCGCATTTTTCGAATTTATATACATATGGGTTTTAAAGTGATAAAAATCAATCATTTATGTTTTTTTGTTTTCCCCAATGTCGTTGGTTCATTGTATGGGTTCTTTGGATAATTTTGGCATGAAAATTATGCAAGAAATTGATACAATGTGTTTATAAAATTTTATGGTTATTAAAGGATTTTAATGACATAAAAGTTTATAAACAAGGATTATAATTTTATGTCTATTTAATTTTGTTGATAATATTAATCACAACATTGTTTAGAAACATGTTTTGACACAATCATGTTTGCAACAATTAATAAAACTGTCGCGAAAGCTGAAAGTTTTATTTAAAGAGTAAAATAGTGCTGTTTGCGACGCTTTTACAAAGCTGTTTTAAAAACTGTCGCTAAAAGCTGTCAAAATCTATTTTAATCTTTATTGTTGCTGTTTTTCGCGACGCTTTTGTGCTGTCACGAAAATTGCTGTTTTTATGCATGGAACCGGTTATGGTTTGCCTTGACTCGACCTTTGGTTGTTTTAATTTTGGTTGGTTGTTCCGGTTATGTATTTTAGTTATTTAATTTTGGTTATGTAATTTTTGCGCGACCTGCATGTCGTTTATTTAATTCCTTGTAATTGTACTAGATAGGAATTATAGGATTATATATTAGATTAAATTTTGTAACTAAAATTTCCGGAGGCCAAAGATTGGAGATCATGAAGATGGAGTCGAGACGGGCTTTTCAATCAAGTTTGGAGATGTCATTTTGAGTGGGAGTCTTTTTGGTTCCATGATTATCCCTAGATTGACCGTGTTTTCTCGATATTGGCTTATCGAAAAACACATAGGTTCAAGGCAAGCGTACCGTTATTTTGCATTGTGGTTGTGTATTTTCATGTCATGTGATCATTGGTTGAAAGTTTTTTTTTCAAAGATAAAAATAAACAAATAATTATTTCGTTAAAAGTTAACGGGCAAATAATTTAAAATTAATTTGTTTTAAAATTGTTTAAAAACAAATTGTCGTGTTTTCAAAGTTGAATAGTTTGACTTTGACGGTATTGGCAAAATTTGTAGTTTTAAATAGGTATTTAAATATTTTGCCAAAGTTTAATCAAATAATTTTGATTAAATATAAAACAAAACCACGTTTTATAAAAACGTAAATCTTATGCTATCAATAATAAACACGCACGAGTTCTATTTTGGCTTCCGGCGCGGCTAGCACTTAAGTCAACGCGTCGGTGAGCCATTTTAGGAAAGTTGATGTGACATTCGCGATAACCCAAGAATCTTGGGCCGGATATCACGTCTTTATTCTTGGACGATTTACTATCCTAACTTATGATCTGCGGCGAACCCGTCACGAGAAGGAATAAGCGTAGAGGGGATTAAACATGCCAAATTGACATAGAGATGAAATTGATAATACTATCTACCTAAATAGCTTCTTGGTGCGAAATACGGCAAACCTCTTCGCAACTTGAAGTGAAATATGGATCTTAGCCTTCTCAATATAAGTTCTTGGGTAATTATTTTTTAAGGAATTTTCAAAATCACTAAACTTGAACTTTGTTTTAATAGGTGGATCCAAATACACCAAATCCTCCTCCATAAAATTTCCCACTACTATGCATTCTCTCCAAAGAAAATCTAAATGGTTCAAACTTCCTTGACTGGAATCGGAACTTGAGAATAGCTCTCAAATACGATAAGAAACATCGTGTCATTGAAGAAGCTCCCCCTGAAGCCCGTCCTGCAGAGTGTACTAGGACCGAACAGACTGAATATGACGAGCGTTGTCATGAGTCAGTCGAAGTCGCGTGCATGATGTTGGCGACCATGGTTCTAGAACTCCAAAAGAATTTTGAGAATCTTGGGGCGTTCGACATGATTAACCAGCTTAAGAAAATGTTCCAAAAGCAGGCTAGACATGAGCGCTATGAGACTGTTAAGGCCCTAATGGGATGCAAGCTTAAGGAAGAAACGAGCGTCAGTGTGCACGTACTTAAAATGAAGGCACACATTGACCAACTTGAGGGACTTGGATTTCCAATCAGTCAGGAATTGTCTATCGACATCATCCTAAATTCGATGACCGAGTCATATGCGCAGTTCATCCTGAACTACAATATGAATAATTCAGAAAAGACCATCATGGAGCTGTATGGCATGCTTAAGACCACCAAGTCTAACATGGACAAGGCAAAAGGCTCTAGCTCATTTTTTCCTGTCCTAGCCATCAGAGAAGGAGGTGTTAAGAGGAAACGAGGAAACCACTCCAAAGGTAAAGGGAAGATTGTTGTTGACCCTAAACTGAAGGGGAAGAGTATTGCTCAATCTGAGACACCACCTACAAAGTCTAAGGAGGATGTTGTATGCTTTCATTGCAAGGAAAAGGGTCATTGGAAGCGAAACTGCCCGAAGTATCTTGATGAGCTTAAGAAGCTAAAGACCAATCAAGTTGGTCCATCTGGTACGTTTTTGATTGAGCTCCATAGTACTTCTACTTCTGACGCCTGGTTGTTAGACACTGGGTGTGGTTCACACATATGTTCAAATGTGCTGGGATTAAGAAGTAGAAAACTGAGACGAGGAGAGCTTAACCTGATCATGGGAAACATCAATCAATTTGTTGTTGAAAGGATCGGCATTTTTGATTTGAAGCTCTCAAATGGTCTCACTTTGGAACTATTAGATTGTTGCTATGTGCCTTCAATGGCAAGAAACATTATCTCATTTCACGCACTTTATCTTAATGGTTTTGATTTCACTTTTGACAATGGAAACATTTTGGTTTATAAAAATAATGTGTTTTATTTTAAAGCAATTCCTTGTCGTGGCATGTATGAGACTAGTGTAAATGTAAGCAACAGCTCAATCTTGAATATTGATTCATCCAGATCCGAAAAAGTTTTCGATAAGACATATTTGTGGCACTGTCGTCTTCGGCATATAAACAAGAATCGAATCGCAAAACTCCAGTTGGAAGGAATTTTGGAATCATTTGACTCTAAGTCATTTGATGATTGAGAATCCTCTTTATTAGGCAAGATGACAGGCTCCCTTCATACACTTCTGAGAGGGGCAATGACCAGTTGGACCTTATACATTCTGATGTATGTGGACCATTCGGGGTAGCCACGAGACGTGGTCAAAACTTACCTTTACCGATAATTATAGTCGCTATGGGTATGTTTATTTGATAAAGCATAAGTCTAAAACCTTAGAGGCATTCAAGACTTTTCAAAACGAAGTAGAGAATCAGTTGGGTAAAAAGCATTAAGATTCTCAGATCCGATAGCGGTGGAGAATATCTTAGTCATGAATTTAACGAACTTCTTAGAAACTGTGGAATTGTTTCACACCTTACTCCGCCAGCAACACCACAACACAATGGTGTGTCAAAGAGGCGAAACCAAACTTCGTTAGACATGGTTCGTTCTATGATGAGTCGAGCAATGCTTCCAATCAGCTTTTGGGGTTATGTCCTAGAGACAACTGCTAGGATCCTGAACCTTGTACCCTATGTTATTAAAATCGCGATATATCGGCGATATATCGGATATCGGACTCTAGAAAAATATCGGTAGTGAAATATCGGTTCCGATAATGTCGCCGATATTTACCGATATTTCACCGATATTTTGATGGAAAAATCGGTCCGATATACCAATTTTCTATAAGACAAATGTTTGGGCTTTTTCTATTACATGTCCGGCTTAGTTTTTTGGACCTCTTTATTTGGTCAACCAGTCAACACATATATTAAGTCTCCCGCTTCTTCTCTTCTCGGTTCTTCACAGTTCACGCTTCTTCTCTTCTCGGTTCTTTCACAGTTCAYGCTTATTGTTTGCGATTAGCTCGTTTTTGAACACTTTTCCTATTTTGTTTYGYGAGAYTTGTTTATGTGATGTTTTAGTTTTGAAACTATATTTCTAAACTCTAATTAATGCATATGATATGTTTATGGATGCATACATATTATATATATATATATATATATATAATTCTAAGAACTATTATATTAACCGCTATTTTGGACCGAT